AAAGCCACCAATAGTTGCCACTGGACCGGTGCCTGCTGACAACTTGAGTTATTGTAGAAGATAGGACATGATCCTATTTGGTGGAGAAGATTTGTAAAGTCTGCCCTTGACATGCGTGCCTAGACTCAAAAGGAAAGGAAAATGATTGATCAACTATGTAATTTACAGAATGATATTAAAGGAAAGAGCTCACCGCCATCAACCAAGTGCGATCGGTCTCATCAAACCACGCTTGAAAAGTCTGAGCCTTCAGACTACAACGAGGCCTGCGATGCCTGGGTAGAGGGTATCTTTGTCTTTTCGTTTCTTCTCGGATCTTCAATAAAACTCCTAGAATCGATTCATCATCTTCTAGTCTTCTCTTCCGTTGATTCATGTAGGCCCTGTTGTCCATGGAAGATAACATCATGATTGCGTAAGAAAATATAATGATACGTTCTTGATGACCAATATTATTGTCCGAATCGTCGTGGTTGCCATCGTCGTGGTCATCGTCATCAGAATTTATGAAAGACACCATAATTAAACCAGCAATTAAGTTTTGAAGGAGAGATGGGGTAGTGGATGGAGTTATGGTTGAGGTAGAAGCAAGAAGAGACACATGAAGTAAGATAGAGGCGTCAAGTGATGACAGAAGCTGCCTGCGGACAGAGATTCGAGTCATAATTTAAATATAGGGATGGGTTGGGTTGATGGGTTGGGGCGTACAAACCTGTCCAAGGCAACCCATTTAAAAAACCCGTGAAAAAAATCCAAAATTCAGATGGGTTGTCACGGGATTTTTACATGGGTTTTCCATGTCGGGTTCCAGGTTTGTGTACCCTTAATGCTACTTCACCATTACCCAAAGACTGACTGAGTAAAGAACCAGTACAAGTCAAACATAAAATGGATGCATAAGAAACTTTGTTAGTTGATGTGAAAGAGACCTTCAGCATGATGATCTGTACCATTGGTGTTTCCTGGATCACAGAGTGAGATACCGTGGTGGAGTTACCATTCAAAGGCAAAACAAAATGAAAAAGAATCAATACCTAGAGTACAATTGAAATCCAAAGCAAGTGATTTCCAACCCATCAAAACCTGAAACCAATAAAATGGGATGTATGGGTGCATCTTTGGGAGGCAAAACATTCTTCTCAGTTATTTGATCCCATCTGGTCAGGACCAGGGATGCAAGTATGAGCATGAGTATACCCAAATCATACTGTATGGGTTTTGGGCTTGTGGGGCAGTAATGGTACTCCTAATGTGGACTGAGTGAGTTATACTGCACATCAGAAAGCTATGGTGGCTCTAAGGTGCCACTTGAGTCAGACTCACATTGTCAGATTTGTCAAAAATAACATTCCTGACCTCAAAAAAGGCCCTGCTGAACAAAGTGCAAGCTTGGCCAGCCCTATCTGGTCATTGTCAGGGTGGCTACAATTATAACTCACGATTTGGTCTAGTCAACAACTCGTGAGGAGGTCCTGAATGATATTCCGCTGGGTACGGGGAATATGTAAGCTTGATATCTATTGAGGAACGCCGGAGAAAGGTAGGTATATTAGTATTTCCTAATATAAAGGGTTTTGATTTAATATAAAACTGGAATCACAGGCCCACTGTAAGTTAACAGATGGTAGCAGGTCAAGCCTGGGCCGTGATTATCTCTAAAACTCGAAAGTTTAAGAGCAGCCTGGGATTTAAAATCCACAGGGATCTTGCCAACTGTTCAGTTGCAAGACCTGGGTCCTTGACCAGAAGAATGGAAGAGAAAGACTAACCTGTGATAGATTCACAGATAGCGTAACTCAGCAATGGTGGGGTTTTAGTGATTAAAGGAAATTTTTATAAAAGGCGTGACACTGATTTAATAACTAATTTCAAAAGGGAACTAATATGATTATTCTTCGGGAATTTCTTACTAGCTAGCAATTGAAAAGAGATAGAATTTCTTGCTTTAGACTTCTTGGTTCTAAATAGAAATATTGGTATGGGTAAAATCAGGTAAGGTCCGTTCTTTTCTGATTCCTCACCAGGTATTTATACCTTTCTGATGTCTTGGTTCAGCTTGTGGTAAATGCTGCGCAGCTTTCTCTTCCAAGCTAATGATCTAGTTGCTTCGAAATGTTCCTTGCCTTCCTTACGTGATATTGTATCCGTTAGTATAGTTTTAGGTAAGACATTTCAGTAGTATGTTTATTCTGTAATAATTTGTTCTCATGATCCTTTCTTGGCATGATTAGTTTGTTAGGTAATCTATGGATTTTTTGGCTTCCTCCGACCTAGTTCCCTAGAAGAGTAATTCTTTTCTAGAATTTCTCTCAATGAATTCAATTCTTCATTATGTAAGGATATCTCTTTCCCGCGACTTTTGATACTAAGCCGGGAAACAATGTCGGTGTTTTAATATATACTTGTGTTCTATATTTTTTATATGTTACTATTTTATTTCTATCATTAGTTATATCGAAGTTCCTTACTTTGATAGCTTTTGGGACCTTTGAAACTAGGTCTAGAAGTTGTGTGTTTTATTAAGTTGCATTTTTACATTTGTTGTCTGTGTTGTAAAAATGTAGAAAGGAAGTGAAATATTTTTATTATATTATTATTTTTTTATTGTAGCTCTTTTGGCGCTTCATGCTTAAGAGCTCGAGAGCTGACAGTCATATTATGATCTTGACCACCTCAATAGGACCCTGGACAGCTTGTATTGAGGCACATGATGTAAAAAAATTCTTACATCACATATACTTGACTGAAGTTTGAATTCATAAAAATTTGATACAGTTCCTTGCTCTTTCCTGAACAAGGCCCAGCAAGAAGCAAGGGGCTTGGTCAATTTTGGAATCCATAGCAATACAAATGTGCAGACTTTTTACAAGCTATGGAATTCACAGCAAACATAAGGAAATATTCTTTACATTGAGTGCCTCAATAGTAGCTCTCCAGGGTCCTCTTCAGCCTCCTTGTTGACAATGTGGGAAGATTTAAGAGATGCTTGATTGCCATAAAAGACTACAATCAAGGCTTATAGGAGCTTTTCAGAACTCAAGGAATTATTTTACAACTAGTTAGTTAATCAGGATGGGCAATACAATAGAAAGAAAATCAGATGAACGCATTGTTCTTATTAATTAAATCACTGGATCATTTTTGTTTCTCTTGCCTTTTTCATTGTAAGTTTTTTTCTTCTTATAACTAACTTGAATAGCTCTAGCCTTTAGTGTGCTCATCTTGATCTCAAGTTTTTTGCATGAGGATCTTCATAATCATTGGCCTTACTTTCTTTCCTCTTGTGATTTTTAAAGAATTTCTATAGTGGGAACCATCAAGAGCCACTTAATTGGATAAGTTTTCAAAAAAGATTGTCAAAGTCACCAATATCACTCAATTCAAAAATCAAGATATTTTTGGGGTCCTCTTGTTCCGGGCTATTCACAGATATCCTCAGAAGACCCACTTTTGAAAGTCTTGTTCTTTTTGACCATACATACGGTTAAGAGTGCACCAGGTGAAAACCGGATTGTTTGTTGTAATTACAAATTCCTCGGTCTGTGGCTTCTTGCCTCTTGATGGTTCCCACTATATTAATAAAAAAAGATGTGATCAAGCCACCTGGCCCATGATTTGATTGAAGATTGCCACATGTCTCAACATTATCCAGGGTTAGCACTTGTTCAGCAGGGCTTTAAAATTCAATATTTTTCCAATTTATCTTTTCAAAAAAAACTACAAAATCCTAGTCCATCGATTTGTTTCCATGCTCCTCCTTTATCAACCTAATGGCTCATTTGAAACTGTTTGTACCTACAAAATTCACAATAAATTTCTTTTGCATCTTGAGTTTGTTTCAAGTTGTGTTTTATTGTAGTTTATCTAGTACATGGCAAACAAAACAAAATTACGGAAATATCAATCTGTTTTGTTCTGATTGGGGTGTTTCTTCCAATGTGAAAATTTTGGTGAATATCCTCAATCCCAAGTATTGATCAAAGCTCTCTGACTTGCACTACCCAGAGCATGCCTCACAAGATGAGGAGCTTGTTGAAGGACTCTTCAGTTCAGCTTTGGAAAAGTTGGTCAGCTACCCCAGACTCTTCCCCATCACTGACCCCCTCTACTTCACACATATCATTCAATCAGGTTGATATTGTTACTTCATCTGCCACTATTCAATCACCCAAATTGATTCAGACATCTGAGCTCACCTTGTACCAGCAGGTAGATTATCCAATTGTCCTGGCCAATCTCCACTGGTGTGGTGGAATGTAAGTTGTCTTTACTCACTGACATCTGAACATATGTTGTTGTATGTATTTCTTTGTTTCACAGGTAAACTCTTTGAATTTCCAGGCTCTTGCTTCCTTGGCACACATCTATCTTACTATTGCGGCTATGTTGTGTGCCTCAGAACAATCAAAACAAATATTTTCTTTGGCCACTGATATTTCTGTTCCTCAAAGAGGTTCCTTAACACCTAAGTTCATTGTGATGTTGGTTGTAGGGGATGGTGGAGAGCAGGTATCACCACCATTGACCAGTCCTCTGATGTTCTTACTTGCATTGCTCTGTTCAAACAACATATGAAGAATAAGAAAAAAACACAATGATTAACTAGATGAGTATACTTGATCTGTGTTTTCTTGAGAGAACCACCATAACACAGGTGGTTCGTAGGTCCATGACGACTTGCGGTGACCGCAGGAGGTAAGAATGAGATACCCGCATGGCACTCGGCCCCGAGGCTGACTAGTGACACTCTGCCGTGCACCACAGGAAAGGTTTTTCGCTCTCACACCTTTCCTTCTCATACCTCGCTGCTCTAGGCCCTCAAGCGCTAGAGCCTTTCACCGCAAGTCCATCTACCGTAGTAGCTCAAGACACCCTTGGGGTTTAGAGCTACTAGCTTTTTTGTTGATTAATTTCCAAAAATTTTCCCAATTTCTTTTTTCTTCAAACGCCAATACAACACATAAACAAACCCGGAAAGAAAGAAAGAAATATCAAAGAAGATGGACGAGGCGATAGCGCTAGCGGAAGCAAAAGCAGCCAGGTTGACATTGACCAGGATGAGGGCAGCGGCGACGGGACAACAGCCTGGCCCACGATTGGCTACACCCAGACGAGCCAAAACTATCCCCCGAGAAGGAGGCAACCCGGTTGACGACCTAGACGGAGATCCAATAGACGGGGAGCCAACAAGAATCGAAGGAGGAGAGACGGATAGCGAAGAAGAGTTAGAGGAAACTCAACAGGTCAAATCTCAGATCGACGTCGACACCCTACAGTTACTAAACGGATCCTTAATTCCATCAGAAGAGGACGACAACACCTCCTGGAGGCCAGAGGCAATCCAAAGACGGGAAGAAGGCAAGGGGAAGAGACGAGCGTCGTCTTCAGCGCGCTCACCCTCACCGATATTCGATTCAGGAGACAAATCTCAACTGCACTTTGAAGATGGTAAGCAGAGTTTTAGATCTGGAAATTAAACATCCATGACAAGTAGCCAAGATCCTCGAAGAGGTTGGCAAATTCCGAGCTACCCAGATCCCAGACAGGGGGGAGCCGAGATGCAAGAAAGTCTGATGGCAATCCCAAGATCCCAAATAAGTGGGGGGATGAAGAGACTGACAGGAAGACAAGAAAGAGTCTGACGAACCTGTGTTCTTTGAATTGGTTACGATTGAACAGGAAATTCACCCATCCAACCAAACGATAGGGTGGAGTACCTATTTGCGAAAGGTCGCCGTGCAGAAGCAATGGCCTTACTCGACCAGTGGGATCGGTGTGAAAATCCAAGAGCAAACTCCATCGCTTGAACATACCCAGTGGCAAGCGGAAGCGGGCTTCCAAGCACACGACCTTACGCACTCATCGCGGAAAACCTAACCAATAGCACGGAGTCGCTAGGAAACCTGCCACTAACCAAGAGAGAGCGAATTCAAGAGCCGACTCGACAAGCCGCTCTCAGGAAACAGCCCCTCCATAACCCTACCGAGCCAGGCAAAATAGAGAGAAGAGGTTACGAAAATCAACCAAGAAGGGAGCGAAACCCCGAGAGACACGACAACCACTCTACGGCAGAAGATACTCCCGAGAGAAGAAGTGCTCACCTTCCTACCCCCTACACAAATCGGCCAACGGAAGAACCCCCACAAAGACTTCGATATGTTCATTACAAAGATCGACAAAATTTACGACACGGCCTCAGCCGCTCTGAAGGTCAAGAAATGAGACTTCCCGCCCCCAGCCAACCATCAAACCAAACTCGAGAGATCCTAACGGAGGAAGAAGAAGAGGAACAGATTAAGGTGCTGATGGCGACAAAGAAAGGAAGATTGGTCCTACGTAATGGAGATGTGATTGAAAATGGGAGGAGACTGGTGGCAAGCACGGACGAAGAGATGGAGAAAGGGTTGAACCAACTTTCCCCCGTCCTAACTCACTGGTTACAAACCTTTAAATCCTTCATCCCGTTGACAGTTTTCAACAAACAATTTCTCATTGACGACCAGCAAGAATGGAGTAGACGTAAAGCACCTACGGAGTCAAAAATCGAAGATGGAAGTGCGTCCTTGAGAGTGTATGGAGGTGCGCCACCGCCAGAAGAGATGACCATGCAATTTGAGGACTGGATCGATAGTATTAGCCTGTTCATTAAGTACGTAGAAGCAGCAGGCTGGGAAACCCTAGCCGAACGGTTTGAAGGCCACAGAAAGGTGGTGATGGAGTTGAGAGATAATTTTGGTTGGATGATCGCACTGAGGTATTGCAGAGGAATTAGGCAGGGTGTAATGAGGGAGACAGCCGACAACAAAATAAGGAATTTCAGCGTTCTACAGTCAGCTATATTCGAAGAGGCAAAGATCATGGCTGATTCGCGCCAAGAAAGGGCTTATCGAACAAACCCTTACGCACCTGGAGGCCCCCTGTCTCATCTAAACCCTCTAACAGGAGCAGCAAGGTCCAACCCCAACCACACCGCATCATCAACATCGGCATTTCCAAAGAAACCGTACGAGGTTTATCAAGCAGTCAAGACAGAGGCTTCTTACAGCAGACCAGCAGATCCGAACTGGATCCCGTCAGCAAAGTGGAAAACAATGTCCTCAGATGAGAGGAAGGAAGAACTGGCGAGGAGACCAGGCGGTTTGACGCGTAGAAGAGATGAAGACCGAGAGAGAGGTCGGGAGAGGTACGGAGGCGGTGATGATAAAAACCGGTACCAGAAAAGAAGCCGCTCACGGAGCCGGAGCCCCAAAGGTGGGAAAGGCAGGAAAGGACGCTATGCGTAAGCCTATTTAGAAATTTGAATGAAATGAAGTCAATATGACATATGCCCACTCATGGTGAACAGACATGACACACCAGCTGAGAGTCACAAGTGAGAAGCGGAAAAGTTGACCTGCATGAATTGCCTCCTACCCTAATCTGTAGCCCCCAGATTGAGTCCAATCAATCAGTACGTTTTGTGAAACCTCCTGAGAGACAATCTGCCTACCTTGAATTACCCCCCCAGTCCGTACGCTATGGGAAAGCAAAAATTCACTCGGACACCTTCCGTCAGAAACCCATAGCAAGGACAGTTCCTGTTGCTAGAGAGGCCGTAACACCACGATGGCCGGAAAAAGCATCATGCGAGATGAACGTAAGGGTGTGGGAAGCTGAGATGAAAAAGGTCAACTTGGCAGAAAAATATAAAGACATACTGATTGGGTTAGTGAAAGGATTTGATCAAGGGATAAGAGACGCGTACGTAGCAGGGGTACCTTATTTCTGTCCGCCGAACCACGCGTCAGCCAGAGCGGCAGAAGAGAAAATCAGGAAATCTTTCGCCACTGAAATCGCAGAGGGAAGGATGATAGGTCCTTACTCAAAGGAAGAAGCCCACGCACACTTTGGTTTCTTCAGAACAAACCCACTAGGGGCAGTGGTGAACGGCGACGGGACGACGAGACCAATAAATGATCTGTCTTTCCCAAAAGATAACCCCATGGTACAGTCAGTAAACGAGGAAGTCGATAAATACGACTTCGAAACTACCTGGGACGATTTCAGAGCCGTTGCTGAATTTTTATGCTCCCTAGACGAAGACATACTCTTGGCAATCTTCGATTGGGCCAAAGCTTATCGCCAGATTCCGACAGCCCCAGATCAGTGGCGCTTCCTTATGGTGTTGACATTCGAAGACCAGGTCCTTCTAGACACCAGAATCACGTTTGGAGGAGTTGCCGGATGCGGGAGTTTTGGAATGGTAGCAGATGTGTGGAAGGAGATTATGCTGCGAAAGTTCCCCTTTTTAGCAGCCTTTCGCTGGGTCGACGACACCCTGTTTGTAAAGTCAAAATCAGATAACTTACATTTTGATCTCAACGATATATCCAAAGTCAGCCAGGAGATGGGAATTGTAGAAAACGTAGAGAAGAGGCACGACTTTGCTGAAGAGCAAAAGTACCTTGGGTTCATCTGGAACGGCAGGGAAAAGACAGTGAGATTACCCGACAAAAAGATTGCCACGAGACTACTAGAGATAGAAGAATTCAGGAAGGAAAAAAGACATACACTGAAGGAGGTCCAGAAAATCGCGGGTAAGCTCAACCACACAGCGATGGTGCTGCCCCAACTGAACTGCTACAGAGTAGATATCAACAGGTGGATGGCGGAATGGCACTACCCCTCGGCCTTGAGGGAAACACCAGTAACAGTCGAAGAAGACCTAGAGGTATGGCACAGCGCCCTATTGACAGCGAAGCCAAAAAGATTGATCCCGAAACCTGAACAACTGAACGTAAACTGGGTAGGTGACGCGTCCACCTCATACGGGGTGGGGATAATAATAGGGAAACACTGGTCCAAATTTAGACTTCGACAAGGTTGGAACGACGAGCAAAGAGACAGGTCCAAAAGAGGCATCGCCTGGGCGGAGACAGTCGCAGCAAGACTAGGCCTCCTGATGTTAATGCAGCTATTCAACATCAAGGGTAAATGCTTCATCATGCTTACCGATAACACGGTAACGGAAAACGCGATTCGTAACGGCAAAACGCGATTCGTAACGGCAAAACGCGATTCGTAACGGCAAATCGCGAGACCGGAACGTAAATCTAGAGTGGAGAAAGATCCAGAGCATCTTGATCAAAGAGGAAGTCTGTATCGAAGTGAAACGTGTGACGTCGGAAGACAACTCTGCCGACAAACTGTCGAGGGGTCTGGACTCCTCGAAACACAGGAGAAAAATGCTGGTAATCCCGCTTCCTAAAGATCTCAAAGGACTTCTCATACAAGAAAATTGAATCAAATTGAAAAAACTATGACAAACCTACCAAAACATTTCCAACTTGCGATCGAAAACACATCTAGAGCGGGCCGACACACAGCATCCGGAAGCTGGGCCACATCAACACTCTCCGGTTATTCATCTGGGATGGCAAAATTCATTCAGTTTAAAGAAAAAACAGAAGGAGCCTTCAACCCCAACAAAGTGATATCCGATGAGGATATATACGATTTTGTAGCATGGGCTGGAGAAGAAAAAGGACTTACCAAGGATGGACCAGAAAAACCGTTGAGCTCGACAACGATCAAAAAATACCTAGATGGCATCAGAGCTTGGCAAATTGTCAAACACCGGAAAATACCAACGGCGCACCCAGAAGTGGTGAAGACATTGATACGAGCACATAAGAGAAAGGAAGAAAAGAAAGAGTTAGTCACGGAAAAGAACCCGGTGGTGATCCGCCAGTTGTTCAAGTTATTGAAAGAAACTCACGGAAAGTCGGAGACCGAAGAACTGATAGGAGTAGTAGGGATAGTGGCCTTCTGGGGGATGGCACGATTGGGAGAACTGCTTTGCCCAGCAGCAGACCAAGGTGCAATCTTAAGACGACACGTCGAGTTCGGTTCGAAGAAGGGTACAAACTACATAAAATTACACCTTCGGAAAGCAAAGACAGCCCTACCCGGAGAAATCCAGATCATCCACATTCAGCAACAACTCAACGTTTTAGACCCAGTAGCAGCAATAACACGCTTACTAGAAAAAAACCCGAATGCAAGCCCAGAAACACCGCTGTTCAGCTCAAAAGTAAACGGGAAACTGGAGCCGTTATCAAAGATGAGATTCCTGAACGGAGTGAAAAAGATCTGGGGTCAACACGGGATTAAGTCTTGGAGCGGGCACTCTTTCAGAGTCGGCGGAGCATCCCTGCGATTCAATTTAGATATGGACATTAGAAGGATAGCAAAGCAAGGACGTTGGAGTTCAATGGCTTATCTCACGTACTTGAAGACATACTCACCAGAAGACGTGCTAGACTCGAAGAAGTTTCTAGAGGCAATTGAAGACAGAGAGTGGCCACAAAGGTGGGAAATGCAAAGAAAATAATTGATATCAAAGCGGAAAGAAACGTAGAATAGAGACACATGTGAGAAAAGACTGACCGGTTTGAACCTGAACGCTGTAAGAAGTTGTGAATCAGTTTAAAGTTTGAGCCGCAAAAGTGAGCAGCACATGATCGACAGGCTGAGAAGGTCATAGAAGATGACAGAGCGGTCAGTGGCGTCACGAGCGTAAGTGGGGTGTGCCCGGAAGGCTCAGGACACTCGGCCAGGCCACTGAGAGATGGGCGGCCGGGCACACTCAGTCCCACAGGTTGAACCCGAAAGCTCGAGACAGGCGGGAGGGAAAGATCGAGAGGAGGACCCCGGCTAAGTGAGCCTGGTTCTAGAAAACCAAACCTTGGGGGCTTCTTGGTTTAGGAAAACCAAGGCCCCGGGCCGGGGCCCCGTTACCCCCAACCCGCTCGATCTTGACTTGATTGTAAAGATCGTGCCTTATAGGGTGGACTATGGCTATACGTAGCCTATGAGGTGCTAGAAGCACTCATCCCCAACAAACTCCCTTACCTATCGCTATAGGTAGCAAGTCAGAGAATGGACTCTTACATCATCTTTCCACTCTTCATAGCTCTCACTTCATTTTATTGCCATTAATCTGGTAGACTAATTGGGGTCAATATACATCTTATCCTATTATCTTATATTTTCAGCATCATCTTATTTCATTATTTCATCTTGTCACATGTTTATTTCCTCTTGATTTGTTATCTTGTCACTTGGTAGTTTATTTTCTCTTAAGTTTTTCTCTCATCTTGTTTCCTCTTGTCCTGTTGACTTAGTTAGTCACTCCTTATAGTTCCCCTTAGTATGTGTTATGTTTTTTGACAGCTCCCAGCCAAAAAGGCAACTGGGTGTACCAGGTTTTTCTACTTGTGCATATTGAAAGAAAAAATGTGAATGATCCTGATTGCTCCCAGCCACTACCTGGGCCAAAAAATCAACAAAGCAAAGCGCTAGCAATTCAAAGCTCCACACCGCTGTCTTAAGCCTGTAGCGCTTCTCTTTTGGCAGCGGAGCGTTGAGACAACTATATGTAGTGAAAAATCACCCCACTACTAAATTTTGCCAACAGTGCAAAGCTGAGCATTCAGGTGCTGCTACACACATAGGTGAATTTGAGCTGATGCTGTGATATTCACCTCACAAATAAAGACACGTGGCCTTGCTGGAGACAAGGGATAGAAAGAGAAAAGACCGTTAATTGCACAACTCTTAAAAATTGCTTGTATCTGTATATCTGAAATGTAAGTACATAAACATATCAACATAAACCCGCCAACCCATCTAAAAACTTGGCTTCAAACTTTTTCCAAGTTTTTTCTGTAAAATGATCATAAGCAGCCTTCAAAGGCAAACAGGCCGTTATCCAAACAATATGTTCTAAAAGTGAACTCTCCCCCGGAGAAAACGAATTCCAATTATAAAAACAACAACCTGTTTGATAAAGAATTGTCTGTCCATCTTCGTCAAATGCTCTAATCTTACCAAATACTCCAGAGAGATCACAAGTTTCTTCTTCTACCCTTACAAATTTTCCGTCACCTAGATAGATGTAATCATAGCCGTTTTTTAATTCCTTTACCCTGCTTTCAACATATTTCAATTCATCAGTAGTGTATACTCTTTTGCCTTCATATCTCATCGTGCCATCCTGTGGGACAATTTTTTTCAATTTTTCATCGATTCTCTTCAACTTTGACAGAATATCATATTTATGTTTTTCTATATTTGTTGGGGTAGTTCTTCTATGAGTCATAAGATTGGAGCTTGGCTTTTTGTAACGTCTATCCTTATAATCCATACGACTCTCTGAAGGCGGCAACAAATTTCCTGATTCGCTTCTTGCTAATGGTTCATAGTTCCGTAGTAAAGAATCATGAAGCTGTCTCAGGTCTTGATACTTTTGAATGAATTCATTTGTTTTCTCATCCCATTCTACACCACTCGAGAATTGATTGGGCGCAACAGTTGAGATTGAAGGATCTGTTTTGGTTAAGGCATATGAAGGCGTTATCGAACCAAACACAGGGTTGGGAAGGGCTATGAAGAGTGTCAAAAAATTTGCGAAGAGAGCCATAATGATAACAGGATGTTTGTGAACCTTGTGATCGTTTGCGGCTTCAATATGGGAATCATAGAAGACAAAAAAGAAATGAGTTTGATTTAGATATATATAAATGGCCTAGAAGATTCAGAGCAAGACGAACCAAAAAAACTTGAAATTGACCAAATCAGGGTAGGGTAGTATATCTTCAAACTCTCTATATAAACAAAAAATTTATTCGACTTCAAGTCTTGTTGTAATTTTTGATATCTTGAAAGACAATGATATGTTGATCGAATCGAATACAGAGGCAAAAGAAATACTGGAACCGAGGTGGCACTTTATATTTGAATATTCAAAAGACTATCATAGAAGTGTGAGACTGCAGAGATATATTTTTGAAGATACTCTATCAGGGTCTCTGACTCTCTGTTCCTAGCTGCAGAACAAAATTCCAATGCTGAAGTTCTTTAGAGTAGTTAAATAGTGATAAAATTTGCACGATGAAAAACCTTCACGTAAGCGAAGTAGAGTTGAGTCGTTATATGCAGTATCATTTTACGTCACGCCTACCCGCCGAAAGCTTGGACTCAAGATCAAACATCCAATGTGACCGAGCTCTCCGACTGTTGCAGTGTTGTTCCAAGGGTGACTACAACTATTGAACAGTGCGATATCCCTTCAAGCTTGAACCTTGGCTGTTCTCCAAACATGCAGACGTATATCAGCAGGTATGAGTGTGGTATGACGTGCAACAAGCGGTGCGCAGCTGTTTCATTGACCGTCGATTGTGCGATAAGTAACCTGCATACATACGCACTCCTGATTGCTGAGTCGGGGTATGGTAGAGGGGCTTTGGCGCAATAAGTGGCTGTGCCATTGGTTAATGATAGATCAAAGATCTGCTAACTTGGCGTTATGTAACCGCAGCCAACTTGAGCAGATCCGTCTTTATTTGTAGACTTCCGGGTCCAATTAACCACAGCCACACCGCCCTTCCTTGGCCGGTTGGCGATGATCTGTCAGATTCGGTCACCACCGATGATTATTCGCCCCGCAAGCCGAGATGTTTCAGAATGGGACTGGAGAGTTGCGCGGTGCAAAACCAGTCGGACGCTCTTTGAAATCAATCGCGTCGTCAAACCTGATCGCTCGAAAAGGGATCTAGCATGCTCCTCACCTCCGATTGGCGTTGCTGGTGTTGTACATAGCTATCCACAACCACACCGCCCTGCCTTGGCCGGTTGGCGATGATCTGTAAGATTCGGTTACCACCGATGCTTATTCGCCCCGCAAGCCGTCATGTTTCAGAATGGGGCTGGAGAGTTGCCCGGTGCAAAACCAGTCGGACGCTCTTCGGAATTACTTGCGCCGTCAAACCGATGTAATCGCTCGGAAAAGGATCAAGCATGCTCCTGAGTCCTGACACACTTTTCGCGTTTCATGGTGTATGGAACTGCTGCAGTCAACCCAGTTTTGCTGTTTTTTGATAGTGCTTTCAATTTCACATGTTTCAGGTTGTGGGCGCGCTCATATTTTTGTAGGCGCGCCGAGGCGGGTTTTCTCGGTTCTTTCGGGCGGGCCTAGGGGCCACTTGGCGCGCCGGGCGTGTTTTCTTACAAAAAAAATCGCACCCAACTCGCAAGTTTATCAAATTTGAACAACACAATACCTGCAAATCTCATCCAAGTCCAATTCAAGATATACTCAGCCCGCAACACCTTGAACCGCTAATTCAAGAGAAGATTGAAACAATCTTCCCATTCCCTATAGCACCGTGGTCAAAAAGCTTTGGTGAAGTCATTAACATAGGTAAAAAGAAAGAAGAGGTGGTCAAATTATTACCGAAAAAAATTAAATCAGAAGAAGACAGAAGCTCATTAATCATATTCACTGATGGTTCAGTCAGAAAAGAAGGAGGAGGTGCAGCAGCAGTGTCCACAACCATCAGCAGAGCACAAGCAGTTGAATTTACAGATAACTACTCAAATCATGAAATGGAACTGCTTGGTATTTTACTTGCTAATAAAATCTTCTCTACACAGCGTCCACAGCCTAAGAACCTAGCTATCTTCAACAACAACCAAGGTGCAATCCAACTAGTCCAAGATATTCCAAAATCAACAACAGGCCAACACTTATTAATCAAAATCCGCACCCAACTAATGAGAATCCCTCCCTTAGCTGAAATAAAATTATACTGGACCCCAGGACATAAGGGAGTCAAATTAAATGAATCAGATGATGAACTAGCAGGTACAAGTTCAACAGCAGAAAATCAAGAATTGACCATGCAGATCCCGACTAGCTTAGGAAGTCTAAGAAGGAGAACACAAACAAACTTCAACATCAAACAATTTACATTCATCCTGGGAAAAAATTCATTCAGCACAAAACCAAATGAATCACCAAAGGCCTAGAGCGGGGTTCAGTCCCCTCAATGATCATTCATTCAAGAGAAATCCAACTGACTCACCTCTGTGCAAAACATGCAAGCTTAGAGAAAACACTAATCACTTTCTCCTTTACTGCAGACGTTATTCAAGAATCCGAAAAATACATAGATCAAAAATGAAAGAAGAAGGTATCCAGGTATATTGGAATAACACCAATAAACTCCTAGATTTACCTGAAGTTTTTCCATCGCTATCAGACTTTATTGTGAAGACTAAAAGATTTGTACATTTTCATTCATATTTACAGGACCACAACCAAGGAGAACGACCATTGAGCAAAGAGCGAGTTGTCAAGAGATAATAAGAAATTTATCAATCAAAAGAAGAAAAACCGCTGATAAGTACTCGCGTAACTGGGTTTGATTGAAAAATATCAGAAACAGTGTACTGTCAAACCTTGTTACGGAGTTTGTCGGGTAATAACCAGCGAGACAGTTATCATCACCATCATATCATCCTCATAAACCGCTGATAAGTACTCATGTAACTGGGTTTGATTGAAAAATGTCAGAAGCAGTGTACTGCCTAATCTCTTTACGGAGTTTGTTGGGTAATAACTGGTGAGGCAGTTATCACCATCATTTCCTCTTACAAACCGCCAATAAGTACTCACGTAACTGGGTTTGATTGAAAAATATCAGAAACAGTGTACTGTCAAACCTCGTTATGGAGTTTGTTGGGTAATAACCAGCAAGGCAGTTTAATAAAAAGCTCAACTTTTGTTGTCTTTTATAAGGAAAACATCCACCAGACTCCCAATCAAAAGGGCTGTGCTTGCACATAGGTGTGAATCTTAAAACTAAAAATTGCATTTCATTGCAAAAAGATATTGATGCAACCTAAAAAGAAGAAGAAGAAAGATTATAAATTCTTAATATTGAATGACAACAACACTCTTTGCTCTGACCAGATGGCTGAATTCTCCAAGGTGTACTGGTCCTGTTCAATTCAACTTGTTTAGCTAGTTAAAATGCAATAAAGCCCAATGCACTTAAAAAAAAGAAGAAGCCAAAATGTCCCTTTTGTATTGTTATTTATTCTACTAGAGAATATGAGGGCATGCCTGCAACAAGGGAACTTTTACAAAAATAGTATCAAATTGTTCCAAACTGTGCCTTAACACCCTTGCAAACATGTAATACTCCATAGCAGCCATAAGCAATGCCACACCGCTCCATATCATATTTCTAAACCTATCCTACCAAAACATTCAACTGGCCATGTTAATATGTTATGTGCCAAGTTGTGAAATTGCATGTACCACTATTGTTTACAGTTGATGAGAGTGTACCTCAAAGCAGTAATGTTCCCAAAGGTTTCTGTCACACTATACCCATGAATGATTGTACAATTATGGTCCTCAAACCTGTGCAAAAACTGTGCAAGACCAACGTGCAAGATTGGTGCAAGATTTATTGCACCAAGCAAAATCTTCAAGGAAAACAATGTTTTCTAAACCAGTTACTAATAGTATAAACAACCAATGAATGTTTGGGTTTGTTTTGTCACTGTGACAGTACACAGGAGTTAAAACTTATGTTCCAGAATTTCTATTTCTGATTCCAACTGTGTGGTTAAATCCATTGTTTGAATGATGATTTAAATAATTCTCATCGGAATTTTCACCATAAAATTGAACCAAAAGTGGAGCAAGAGTATAATGAGTAGATGATTCATGTATCAAGTTTTCATCTTGATGAGTAATAGATAAAGAAAATGTAGAATTTACAGTAGAATCAGACACTGGAAAATAATTATAGTTTGGTTATCACAATTTCAATTGCAAAATTCATGAAAAGCTAAAAGCATTGATAGGTGTTGGTTCAGTTGGAGTGAAGATGTCTAGTTGATCTGGAAATTGATTATCATCAGAAGAATCAATTGTATGAGTTTGTTGATCAAATTCAGGAAGTTGAGGATAAGATGGATTTTGATAATTTGGCCGTCCTTGGCCAACTTCTGAATCAGGTATTTCAAGTAAATTATTGGGTTGACCTCTTGTTGTATGTGGAATCACGTAGTGATTGATTGGATGGGACATGATGGTGTAAACTTGCTGAACCAGGTCTCAGAACTTGCTATTTTGGAATAGGGTTCCATACAGAGATATCATTTGGACTCACTTTTTTCATATAATGCTTCTGGAGTTTCACTTCAAAATGACTGAAGTATTTGAAGATCTGAACTCAAGTCAGTCTCTTGGGACCAACTTGTCACTGAAGCTGAATCTAAATTATCATTCTCCATGATTTGCCAAATTATCTTTTGATTGAGAAGTATCAATGACAAAATCAATAAAAGTCAATTTTGCAACAAATTCACAACTCTCTTTGTGATGAATAGATGGATCTCCTCTATAATCTGAATACAAGGTTTATATGGATGTATTGATGGTATACCCCCAAGCCTTCAACAGTATGTCAAAGTCCAATTTCAGTAGGCAGGGTGGTTGATTTGGCCTCGGTTGAGGTTAAGGGTCCTGACTGGCCCAGCCCTAGCGGTTGGTAATTCAGGTCACTCTTGTAAAGAGAGTATATATGAGTGAGGGGAACAATGCTTTGTTCCCTCACACACTCCCTTTGTCTCTTTCTCAATCATCCACCTTTGCCAATTTCCAGGATCTTCTCACTCTCATCTTGATTCTTAGTCTTAGCACACTAACACTAGAATTGGAGAAATTTTTTCTCACCCGCCCACCTCCCTGGAGAGAAGCCCATCTCTTGACATTTCTTTCTTTTTGCCTACTGAGTTTGGCAGTTGGGAGAGGAACTTAGCCGTCCTCCTCCTCCCTGCTCTCATTAGGCCACCCCACACCACCATCTGTAGTTAGTATCCATGCTACAAATTAGCATTATGTTCTATCTATTTTGCTGTGGTTACAAAGAATCAACAGAGCTGGTTTTCCACCAGAACATTCTTTTGTACCCACTAGTACCATGTACTAAGAATGGGACTTAAACCCATCTTCTTGTCACTGGAAGAGCCCCTGTCCCACCTGCTTATAATTGGATGATTATGGTTCTTTTTTAGAAACCAGAATGGAGTTACACCTCTTTTTGAAACATTGATTTCTTGATTCATTATCAAGAGGAGAAATGTGTACTTTTTGTTGAGATATCAAAAATCATCAAGTTCTTTTTATGGATTGGGTCAAATCAATTGTGCCATTTTATAGTGCAGAGAAGTTTGAAAATGAGTGTCTCCTTCTTGTTAATTTCCTTACACTCTGTGCAATATATAACTGCATCATTTTTATTTATTAGTAGGTTTGATCTTACAGTCATGAGACTATAGGAGTTGAAAAATAGCTGTTTTTCTCTATTTGGCTCTTTAGACCTCTCTGTCTCTCTCTATCTCTCTTGCTGAAATCTGACAAGTTTTGGGAAAGATAGCAGAAGGTCAAAAGAGGAACAAAAACCAAGTGCATTGAAAGTGGGAACCAACAATTTGGGACATAATGCATCTTGACCTTATTGTTGATCAATTTAAACAAAGTCAAGAGTACACCACTGAATGCCTGCTGCATGTGAGGGGTAAAAGCTGTGAAGTTATTGGCAGGTAAAAAGGTTTACAAATTCAATCTTGTGTTCAACCTCTGCAGTGATGACTAATCAAAACTGCAAAATTGCTGTACGGTTGAATCAAACACTAGAGTTGTATAGGAGATAATTTGAACATCAAAAATCCATTTAATGATAAAGATATTTGTAAACTGAGAGGATTAGTTGGTAAGTGGATTCAAGTTTGAATTAACTTGGGAGAGTTCAAGAAATGAAGTGGGTGCCATAGGTCCTTTTCATAGGGTGGAAATGACAATATATAAAGGGTGAGACACAAACTTAGAGGAAGAGTCAAAAAGCTTGTCATAGGAGATTGGGCATTTGTAATAAAAAATAGCAAAGCTCGCAAGCAAAGATTGAATTGATTACACGCAAGGCAAGATGAATACAGAAGAGATATGAATGTTTCAGAGCGTAGGTTGAGTATACAATTAAATCAACTGGAGATCAAGACAAAATGGTGAGGCTGAAGACAACAGAGGAAGTAGTTGATTGGAGAGTAAAATAAAACAGGACAATAATAATAAGGATATTTGTATACTAAGAGGATGTGTTGCTAGGATTATCCATGTGTGAACTGGTTTGGGAGAGGCCAATTGTTCAGGAGAATTCATCAACTTTGGTACATACCGCAAGGCATTTTTATAGGGTGAAAATAAACATATACCAAGCGGGATAAAAAAAATTTGGAGCAAGAGGCAGAAAAGATCTTCATTGACATTGGAGATTGCCACATTTGGAATAAGCATAATTGAAGATCACAAGGAAAAGGAACAAAAGGGTTGAAGGTCAAAAGACTACAAAGATTGTAATTGTATAATTAAACAAATCAAAGGCAAACAAAAACAGAAAAGTGATAATGAAAAGGTAGACTTCCAATCCACGGGCAGGAAAAGCACTGGTGAGAACAGTACAGCCATGCACTAACAAAGAAAAATAATGTTACATATTGTATTCTGACTGTCATTGACTGACAAGGAGAGTGTGATTGCACGCATTAGTTCTTACTCTCCACGGAGTGGGAAATGCACGGATAAGCACTACAAACAAAGACAACACTATCACAATCAAAATGAAACATTTGAAAATCATGAAAAGAAACCTGGGGCAAAGTGAACCAGATCCAAGACACAGTACTTCATGTGAGTGGCTTGTACGTTTTTATATTTTAGATGTTTGTATTACTAGAGCTGTCTACTACAGCAAAATTGCCTTTTGAAGGTGAGAAAAGCTAAGAAAAGCTGGCATCAAAGCGCACAGCAAGTATCCAAGTCTCCAATATTGGTGACAGGACATAGAACTCCTATGACTCGGTGTGATTCTTGAAAAGGTGTGCCAACCCTCATCTTGATGATTTTTCCAACGCCTAGGCGCGCCAAGGGCATGTTTTTTGTGCCGCGCCCACAACCTGACCACCTGTGTCCCTATCATTTTCCCCTATACTATCCGATGAGAAAAAAAGCCCTATCATCGGATATGTTCCGTATTTCCCCTTAGATCTAGTGCTAGATCTCAAGTTAGAACTTTTTTTGAATTTTTATTCTTCCAAGTCCGTTGGTGAGCTAAGTTGGTCACTTACCAAGCTTACCAGTAGTTCACCAGGCTTACCAGCCCACCAATCTCACCACAAACCCCACCACACCCACACCACCTCACCAGTTGATGACCAGCTCACCACACTACTTCACCATACTCACCCGCTCACCACACTACCTCACCACACTCACCAGCCCACCACTACTCCACCAAACTCCACCCCAAGTACACCAGCTCACCGCACCACCACCCCACCCTGGTCAGCTCACCAAGCCCACCATTAACTTCACCACTTGGCAGTCGCTTGCCCTATTCCCACTCCCTTTACCAAACCTGCCACTCACTCTTATCCTCCTCATCCACACCGATCTTGCAATATTCCTCCTTCACCATGCCTACAGACAAGCGCAAGCCCACCAAGCGACGTCCAACATCAAAAAGATCTTCAATATCTGGCAAACCACCTTCAAAACCGCCTCACAAACGACGGAAGAAAAATAACAAGCAATCTCTAACCCCTGAGGAGATCGCACTTGACGGATCAGACTCAGATGATGAAGATTATCAACCTAACCTCCAACTTGAAGAACAAGAATTAGACGACATGCGAAAAGAAGACCCCACCGACAGAACTTCATCTAGACCAGGTCCCTCAGCTAACAACTCAAGACCCGCTCCCCCAACAAACACCCAATCCAACGCTACAAAGAGAAAACACCCTGCCAAAACAGTACCACCTCGTATTCCCATCACAACATCACTAACCCTTGAGAACTATTCTACCAATGGTCGACAGCTGGGCCGACCGGCACTTGAGAGGATGTTGAATGATCCAAAGCGCAAGACTCAGAATCGACCCCCATCAAACGTTCTAGGTGAAGCTCAGGCGCTACAGGGATATTATACAATGGATAAGATGAGTCTCTCTTTGGTTGGAAACACCTCCCTTGCCACTCTGGAATCCGCACTGTGCGTAATTTCAATACAATTCACTTTTCATCATCAACTCAAATAAGTAATCTTTATTTACTATTCACAGCTTCGAAGGTCCTATATCACGCGATCGCAACGGCTACACAACATGGATGAGCTACAGCCTGGCCAACACAGTCGAAATCTCCAGTAAGTCCATGCAATTCGACCAAAATTCCAAACAGTAATGAACTACTGATACTAATGAACTCTGATGCAGTGCCTGCAGGCCGACAACCCGATGGCTTTGCTGAACATAATCAAAACTGCCGCAAATGGACCGAACTGACCGATCCTGAAAAAGAGATATTTCAGCCAAAACTTTTCGAAAAGCTAGCTTACGCCCATTTCTCAAATATTGCCACCGCGGTTTCTGATGAAGAACGCGCAACAGAAGAAGAGGTAACTCAATATATGATTCATTTCACCCAACTCGCCAATCTGGTCAAGGTATCCAAACACCTCCAAAGTGGTGTGCTGGGACAGACAATAGCAAAGTCTCTTGCGGTCATTGAGAAGAGGGGTCGTGAAGAGATTGGAAAAGTGGCTACTCAGGTAAGTCCAATCCAGATTACATTCCACATTACCGATTCAAACTCACAACTTCAATTTACATGTAGCTACAAAGTATATTTAAACGTTTTGGTATCCATTCGCACCTCCTCGTTGCCAGCTAGAATCCAAGGACCAAGTTAGACGATCCCATGTGGAATCCCGAATATACAACATGCCCTCGATGGGCTGAATTTGCTAAAAAGAACCTCCACCTAGCCAGGGACTTTGCTATTTGATCAACTGCCGCACAAATCGAGACCGCTGAAAACAAAAAAGGCAATAATCACAACAGCAAAACCCCACAGGAATCAATACGGACCAAGCTCACCAACTTGCTGAATCATGAGATAAGTAAGTGATCTATGATGAGGCAGTCTTTACTATTTATTTTGTTTGTTAACACTCTTTCTTCAGGAAAGAATCTGCCAAAGCCGCCTGAGGGACCAAAGCAAGACGTCTATCCAAAGACCCCCAATCCACACGCAACTATAGCCAGCCGGCTTTTCCAAGGCCTCCAGTTAGCCGTCCGCCAAGCCACCGACTCCCAAGTCACTCAGGAGATGCTGAGCATCGGGGCCAAAGGCGGGCGTCTTACTGACAAACAAGTAAAAACTTGGATCGACGACATTGAAGAAGGGCGATATTCTATATATATTGCAACAAACAATGGATAAAGGAGACTCTCGGAAGCATGGTAAGCTATGATGAATAAACACCTCTACACGCAGCAGCCCCAGCCTTGCATTTTACACGCAGCTTACTATGGTTATGACCTCATAGATTTCTACTCGCCACCGACTGTCACCAAAACAAATGGGTCTATCTTTTTTCCTTCAGTTTTTTCCTTTTTTCATTGAGTCGAGTCTATCTATTTCATCCAAAATTTCTTAATACATTTCTTTCATTTGTTGGTTCCCACTCGCTGTTGTCTCTGTGGTTAGCCATTGTGGTCCATTTATTAATATGTTAATCAAAGGTCATAATGTTCTAGTCAAATGACTACTCTCTATACCTATAATTTCCATCCTATAACACTCAACTCAAGTTCTACAAGACTCAAATCGGATTCTACTGTCTCGATCAAAGTCGTTTAATCATCAAACATGATGTAATCAGTTAATTAATTGACGGTCAAACAGATACACCATTTGATTAATTAATTTAAGGTCCAACATGGACATTAAATTAACATTAAATTAATTAATCAAATGGTGTGAGTTGTCAGTCCTTGTCCAAAGCAGGAAAGGCCACCCGGAAATGGGTGATCACGAGTTGACATTACGCTCTCAGTCATCATTTTATGGCTGAAAGCGTTTATAATAGATTTCATTTTCATCGTCGCTGTGCTGGATTGGGGTTAAATACAACTTTGATATGTATTTCAAGGGTCTACTTTCACGAGGTTTAAATCGGATGCTTCACAGCTGGTTGAATGTCACACGCGTTCAAGTTTCCGTGATTCCGCTCCCCAGAAGGGTCTTTTCTCCCAAACGATCCTGACGATTGTGCTATAAGACAGTCAACCTTCTCTCACAACAGCATGAAACGAACTCAACCCCACCTCAATCATCAAGACCCATCCATCCTTGATTCCTCCCACCTCGGGTTACTCCAAATATTCAACAACCTTTCGCTTTTTGGTTTGTGTAGTTTCATTCTACATTTAAACATTTCATTCTTCAATCTTTCTCGTTTTACCTTTCCCATTTGCATCCTTCCTTCCTTCCTCGACTTATCGGCCCCTTTATCCTTTTTCCACGTGGTTCGTTGGGAAGCACTGACAGGCATCAGGCTGCTCCATCGATACCTACCTTTCCCCTTCATTGCCACGAGCTTGACAGGTCTCAAACTCGTCTCAACCTCTCCTTTTCATCTTTTTTCATCTTTTTCTCTCGCCGACTGTTCTTAATTTTTATTCTGTGCAGCACTGACAGGCATCAGGCTGCTACATGACTCTGAGGCGGCTGATTAGCATTGACAGGTCTCAAGCTCTTCGCGAGCCTCAGTCAACTATAGACTGATTTTATGAACTTCTTATGTTACTCAATATCTCGTCTGCATTCACCAACACACCCTTCATTAACGAGATTCGTCTTTTAACCAGATCTCATAGGAATGCCAGCCTCTCGAAAGCACGAGAAGATCGATAACAGAGATTCTAAGCCGTACGACCGAGCTCAGGCTAGTAAGCATTTATTTCGTGTTTTGTCCTTTATAAGTGTATAAGTGACTTCATGTTTCTGTGTAGGACCAAAACCGCGAACCCCACACGTTGATCCTCACTTCATACCTCCCATCCCTGGTCATCAATATGCCAACAACTATATGCGCAGTTCTGTCTGTGACCAATACCTGCGCCAAATGCTGAACAATATTACACCTGATGTCATCGATTATGACATTGCAGTCGCCTATTTCCTTGAAGAAACTGACCATCTTCCAATCGGCTGTATCCCTCATTCCGTCGACCAGATACTATTTGATTTTGAAACCCTCCCTTCAATCACTGGCCGACAAAACGATCTTAGAACCTGTGCCTTATACATCAAGTCTACAATCGATGTCTACAACTCAAACCCAGGTCCAATCAAACCATTCGGGCTTAGGTATCCAACTCTCAATTCGTTGAACAAGCTCATCTCGGAAAGGTCTAAGTGCTTGCGCCCACTGGCATCCGAAAAAGCTGTGGTCCTGGTAGACTTGGCTGGTCGCATGCTCGCGATGAATTTACCACCGAAAGAGGCCCAATCTGCACCCAAAAGTCAAAAGATAGCCTCGAAACCGGGCGAAAAAGGTCATATGTCTAGTGAGGTACGATACCTTGCATGTCTTTACCTATTCTGGGTGTCCACGCAGAATAACTGATTTCGCTAGTAGGATCGAGCTTTGATGGCTTTCGAAGGCGCCGCACAAGTCCATGCTCTACCTCGTATGAACGGTATTCCAAACGATGAGGATGGCAAAGTCCTGGCCACCGGTCAATCGATTCAACCTCGGCTCTCTCGAGCAAAGAACAAACCTGTGGCATCACCAGGTGCTGTGTATGGCTCCCTTCCTTACGAGGCCTTTGGTTACCCTTTGGGTTCGGTATGAATCCTAACCAAAACCTCTATCAACCCAATGGCACCGCACTAACATGATTTGACATCTCTTTTAGAACCTTGCTAGAGCTGACACTAAGATGCATATGGGCTTGGAACGACAAGGATATACTTTGGACGATGTTGGAGAGGGAGAAGGTCCGAAGTCTAATCACCACCTGCCACAAATTATGGGACTTGGTGATGGAAGTTTATTTCAACGCATCGAAAATGCTCGTCTCCTTCCAGAACTCCTTTGGCCCTACGAAGTGTCAAGGGCTCTCAATGCTGCTGTAAATCCGGAGACGTACGCGGCGGCCGAGAGAGTCACTAGCTTCATTGAGAGTAACTCCAGTGCACTTTTTGCCAAGCGTATTCAGGGCCTGCACAACAAAATAATGCAAGGTTAGTAAAGTGACTGTTTTAGAATCCTCGGACTTGGCCTGACACATCACATCATTTATATAGGCCAACAGATCAACTACAACATTCAAGTCGGAACCCATCGCGATGGCAAGAATTCCAACCTTCTCGATTCAGTTTTCTTTTACGGACGTAACTATACTGGAGGTCGCCTTAACTTTGGCTCACTTGGGGTCAGTCTATGTGCTGATCCTGGCTATTCTATTCACGCAAGGTTCAAACTTTTGGATCATGGTGTGAGCCCTATCTTACAGGGCCCCGATATCACGTCCCCACCTCTGCGCATATCGCTGGCGCTTTATGCCCATGCTGATACCTATGCTGGGCCAGCCAGAATCTCAGCGGCTCGCAGAAATCGTTCGCAGTTCAGTGATCCCTCAATGTGGCTACCTTTTCCCCCTGGGAACTTTTGTATCCAAACTTGTCGCAAGATTTTACGGAAGGAGGAAGAGTCTTGGAAGAAGAAAGCTCGACGTGTTTGAACTGGTACTGGCTTATTCATCTGTTAACTTCTCCCTGATCCCTTCTATTGTCTTTTCAATCGTCTTTTTCTATTCTCGTTTTTAATTGTAGTTTTCTATTTTTGAAACACTTCCTTCCTTAATTTCATTACTTCGGCTGTTCCTGCTTAAGACCCCTGTGATGAAATATTTGTTAAGATTTCATGTATTTTATCTCTGTAAGGTCCTGTCTTGAAGTTGTTTGAACTTGTAGTCAATTACCTATGTAACTCAATTGTAACTGTGGAAATCACAACTAATGTTTGATCGCTGTAAAGTCGATAAATTAGTAACAGTCTTTTGTAGTCAATTACATATGTAACTCAATTGTCACTGTGGTAATCGCAACTATTGTTTGATCGCTGTAAAGTTGATAAATTAGTAACAGTCATTTGCGCGACAAATACTAAAATACTGTGTAGATGGAGGCTTTCGGAATTTATATCACTGAGTTCATCACTCGATGTCAGCTTTGGAACTTGATAAACGTAAAAAATCTACATTGCCAACTTTCACTGATTGTTTCATATACTCACTGTAAACTGTGAGTAATACTTATATAAGTTTTATATAAGTATCAAGTTGAGTTACTATCATTTGTTTTTTCAAATGATAGTAACTCAACTTGATGTCTGGAACACTGAAATAGTGTCTTTTTAGGGGGAATGAGATACAAATGTGGTGTTTCATCTTTGAAGCACAAACCATGTATGATATGCTTGTTCTTGGGAAACCATGAACAAGAGCTTTACATGTTATGAATGGTTTCATGAAATATGAAATCATGAAACCATTTATAATTTCATTATCAAAGTTTATGTGTCAAGTTAGTGGCACATGTTTGATTGAAATTTCTTGTATCTGCTTTAATTATGTGGTTCAAGGTGAGTGGAACTTGTTTGTTATGATATTTTACATATGTGGTTTAAGGTGAGTGGAAGTTGTTTGATTGGAATTTCTTGGTGGAACTTGTTTGTTATTGTATCTGCTTTAATTATGTGGTTCAAGGTGAGTGGAAGTTGTTTGTTATAATCTTTATGATATTTTTATTCAGATACAAGCCTTTCAAGAATGACCTTTTATTGTTCTTATGTGTTATATGTATCAGGATTATGTTGATGTAATCTAATTCAGATTACATTTCAATCAAGTCATGCCATTTCTTACATATTGACGCTTATTGACGAAGATATACTATTCCAGTGTATATACTTTATACATGTCTTGTTTGTCTGGCTCAACATAATAGTCGTAGCATATATAATATTTGTCTTCTATACTGATGACTTGTTTTGCTTGCACAAGTTGAAATGTAGTGCATTGTATCAGGATGGCAAACACTGGATATAACTATAGTGACACTATACTGATGACTTGCTTTGTGTACGCGTATCACATCCACTGGATTGCATTTCATAGCACTTTAAAATCATGTGCAGGATTGTGTAACATATTTGCAAGCAACCTTGCAAACATGTAGTAAGTCTGTTTATAGGCATTGGTCAATTGATCAATGACCATTACCCATGGCTCTTGAGATCATGTATTGAGACTAGATGATTACAAACAATAAGTCTAGTATCCAAAACTTATTGTTTGACTATTAGTTATCTTTGCTAATAAACTGATTGTTGTACTATTAGTCATCTTTGTTAAGTACATTAATCATTTGATCAATGACCATTAACCATGGCTCTGGTTACTAGACATGATATCTAGATGATACTAGATATCATGTCTAGTATCCAAAACTCATTGTTTGACTATTAGTTATTTTTGCTAATAAACTGATTGTTGTACTATTAGTCATCTTTGCTAAGTACAATAATGTGTGAGTTGGTTTCAAACATGGGTCTTGATATCTTAGACTATGCAAGTTAATTCTGATTTGTGGTGGTCCTATGATCTTTCTGATCTTAAAAATCTTAAGTGCATAATCTATATGAACTGAAGATGTTGTCAGATAATATATAGAATGTAAGACTTGGTGTGACCATCAAAGACCTCCAGTTATTTGTTTTAATGGATTTTTGAAGAGAACAAAGTGACCATTTACTGATTACTGTACCTGATGATATCTTCATATACAGCACTGATGGCCTAATTCGCTTGCGCAAGTTAAAGAAAATATATATACCAATTTTAGCAGGGAAACTACAAATCATATATCATATGCAAGGTAAAGAAAATGTATACCAATTTTAGCACAGGGAAACTACAAATCATATACCATATGCCCATAAGGCCTTATTTGCTTGTCCAAGTTAAAGAAAATATATATACCAATGTATATATTATTTATTTAGACAGAGGGCAACTAGAAAATATATATATATATATACCAATGTATATATTATTTATCTAGACAGAGGGAAACTACAAATCATATACCATGCACCAATGTCTATATTATTTATTTAGACAGAGGGAAACTACAAATCATATACCATACACCAATGTCTATATTATTTATTTAGACAGAGGGAAACTACAAATCAAAGACCAATGAGGAACAATCATATACCAATGTGATGATACATAAATATATTATATATTTAGACTGAAATATATTAACATATATTCATTATAAGTCACACATACCTGAAGTATGGACCAACAATGGTTCACACTAAATCTAATAATAGTAATAAGCTTTTATTACTATTATTTATAAAATACGCATACAAATAAAATATCTATAGTTGGTCCATACTCACCATGGCTTATGTGTTTTGGACCTGTAACGGTTAAACTGAGCATTCTCACCGACCAACTGGTCAGTAGTGATGCCTTAGTTTTATTTCACTTATAATATCTCACTTATATAAGGCAAATGATATATATCATGCAGGTCCAGATTAACAAACTATGTTGATTGTTGTTGATCAAACAACAAAACACTGACAACATCATGCACTCGAAATAAACCAATTCAAACAAAAACACAAGTCATCCATCTAATCTATGAATTAGATGGATGACTCGGTCATTTGAAACATTGGAAGTTTCTACAATACAATCTGCATATTACCCACAAGATCCTCAAGCAGTTCAACATCCAATAACCCCTCGTCCGCATCATCATCATCTGTTTCATTAGGAGTCCCAGTCATTTCAGCCCATTGACCTGGGCATGAATCGACCAAAGCATGCCATTGTGATAACAAGTCACCATCAAAACCATCTGGAAGCTCAAGATAGGGTGCTGTCCGAGACATGACATCTTCGATGCCCCATTTCCATGATATCCAAAGTTTGCATGCCCGTTTTGCAATGTCCAATTGAAGTGATATTGTCACTGGATCCACACCTTTGAGAAGGATGAGCGAGCAAATTTGACCTCTATACGTGGAATTGACAAGGAGACTTACTGTTCCGTTCCAAATCTTTTACCTTGGTTGAATATCCCAAAGCCCACTGCAATTGCTGTTGTAGCTCTCGACCTATTCTTCTCATTTCCTCGCGCGAGCTCCGTTGAGTCCGCCAAGCATCTATTCCTGATTTTGTCTGTGGGTCCACAGCCCAGTCTTCATTTGGATGAGTAAGGTCAGCGACTTCCCAAAAAGGGTCGCCAATGTCCATTCTATTGACACACTCCAACGAAGGTGTTGGAATCAAGATGGCTGGTTTGAACCTCTCATTGTACCGAGTAGCATGTCGTAGGTAAGTCCTGTAGCGACTGGCTAATTTTTTCTTCTTGTCAGAAGCAAGACCCTGATATCGCGCTCAATTCCTTTGGTCTAGGTGTTTCGATGGGGTTATTAGCGATTGATATAAGGTTGTATGTTCCATCAAACACATCATCGGCTCTTACCAGTAGTTCCGTCTGCTCGACATTGCATTTCAATACACTCAACCTTTGCTCCGTACATCTTGGACTTGGCAATTTGGAGTAACATCCTAGGTTTAGCTCGATCGTCTGTTACTCATACAAGGTAAGCCACTGGCGAGTAATTAGAGTTTGATGAAAGCATGAATTAAGGTAGACTGACCGGTCATTCCTGTTAGCTCTCGAAACTGTTGGGAGCCCAACTCATTAGCTACATTTTGAATCTTGTTCTCCAGCGATGTAAGTGTCCTGGGCAGGTCCAGCAGGTCGTGCTGTTGCTCTTGAGTACGTAGAGCGGCGGTACCTGCTTCCAAAAGGGCCAGAGTATCCCTGAATCGAATCTAATCAGTCAATCAGTAAAAAATGTGTTATTTATATGGTTTTACAGACCGTGCCTCAATTAAATCTTCCTCAAGATCCAATAGAACACCCATTTGTTCTTTCAGCCTACGAGTAGTAGCATTGATTACATTTTGCTGAATAAGTCGCTGCCGCTCCCATTGTTGTTCGAAATACTCGATGGTATACTTAGGATCCGATTTGGGCAACTCAGCTAGAATTACAGAGGATTTCACAAGCCTCTTCTCTACCGTGTTGATCCAGGAGAGGACACCGGTCACTGTGCGAACATGGCGAGGTCAGTCAAAAGGTCAAACAATGAGAGAACATGTGAAACTTAACTTACTCATGTTGAATAGCGCCTTCTCATTGTGATGGAGACCGCGGTCATTCAGAGCAACACCATCTGAGAGACCCCAACCCTTGATGAGGCAAGGGTTGTAGTCCAATTGACAAAGCCATTCATGCACATAAGCGTGGAAGACACTTGTGCCAAACTTTAGCCGACCGGCAGCGCGCTCGACAGGAAATTGATTCCGCTATATCGCACAATTAGATAGTCTTCAAAATAAAACCATTAGAAAGAAACAAAACGAAAACAAGAAGATTCACCTTCAGAATACCCTTCTCGATGTTACAACCTATGTCATAAAGAATTCCAATTTGACGAGCCTCATCTGGATGTTCTGAAGTTACTTCGAGAATCCAAGCAATGAGGGTAAGTGCGTAGTAACTCCTGTTTTACCTAACAAACGATCAGAAACTATCAAAGATATAAAACCTCAAAATATTAGAGAATATTACGAGCTTTTCTCCACTTTGAACTATGTTTACGAATCGTAGGATGTGATCATGGCGACATGCCATTACCAGCAACCCCGTCTCATCCATACCAGGCCATGATTTCTTTCCTCTGACATCGTCAGCGGCTGTGTGTTTATCAGAACAGGGATCCTATGTGTAACTAATATGTAAGTATATATTTAATATTTATGGGTATGGACGCTCATCACACAACATTGATAACTCACTACCAGTTCGTCTAACTGTGGATTACGTTGTCTGGGACCGCCTGCCATCGACTCGGCCATCTTTTCGACTCGTTCCGGTTCCATGAACAGCTCCGGTGTTGGTGGTTTGTGACCAGGTATCTCATGACTTGCGGCCTGGTGACGGCGATGTTGGAAATTCCCATCGACACACACTATGATGTGTGGCTCGTCTGGGTCCGGAGTTTGGTCTACTGGCGGTCCGAAGCAACGCGGGCAGTTGCTGGCCAGTTGGTTGAGTTGTGATAACTGCAAAAGTGAGATCTCTTTCTGGCGTATCAAACTGAGCACTTGGCGGTGAGCAGTGACTGCAGCCGTCAGTGGCTTCCGCCATTGGCGGGGCTAAAGGACAAGCGTACCAAAGAACCCTGATCAGCTTCAATCTGACAATTTTGAATCAATCGAATCAACTACAACTCACCCGACCCGTCTTGGTAGTCAGCATGAGTGGATTGTGGGCATCAAGGTATTCATCAAGGGCTAGAGCAAACCCTTGCATTCGGACACTACAATATTCCCATAGGATTTGATGGAATAGCAGCAGCCTGATTGAGAATGCTGTGCAAGGAAAAGAGGGTGACGCCGGAAAGTATCCCATTTGAATAAGCCTGACAACATCCGGTTGGCAGTTACAAAAGTTTATTGATAACTTCCTGCGAGCTACAACATCAACATATGTGTCAGTGAAATTATACGACATCTGTAAGGCTTTATACTAACTGTGTATGTCGACTAAGGTGACTACTCGTGAATACCCTACGCAGCCACATGGTATTTTATAATCATGTGTCCAAAGTATCCCATCTCCCCAATTTCTAGTGTTTTTTCGGCCTATGATATACACATCCACCATTGCCTCAACCGCACTGACCCATTTCGCTTCCAATTCTAGCCTTTTGCGTTGATACAGATTTGAGTTGAGTGCTGAAATGATTTGTTGATGCTCTTCTGATAACTGATGGTTTACTAAATCAAAATCATCTTCGATATCTTGCCACGCGCCATCGTCAGGTCCAAGTCCCGGTTTCATTTGCAAAATCCCATCATCCGTGATTATAAAATGTTGTCATGGTGGTTTTTCATGAGTGACAGGGTCGAAAAATAGGTTGGTAATTGGTCGAATGCAGACGTACTTGCTCCATTTCTTTCACATCTTGCTCTTCCCTGCTTTCAAAAATCCGCCTGTAAGCCAGTCGCTGGCAGCTTCCTCTTTTTGAGAGGTCTGTAAGGTTTTGGTTTTGGTGCCATGGGTGAAAGATGGTGAATGAAAAATGTCTAGATGCAAATAGAAGATAAAAGAAGTTTAACTGCGAAGTGAAAAAGTTTAAATCAGTTCAATTACAGCCCCAGGATGAAATAGGTTTCACGCTAGTGTACCTGTATATAGTCAAACCTTGAATACAGGCCTGGAATTTCACTCCCTTTGGGTACCATTCAATTCATAAAGAATTTCGCACAGATGAAGGAAAAGAGTGTATATTAATTAAAACATTATAAATCACTACACCAAACCGTGAAAAACCAAACACAGAAATCAGTACCTAATTGAATTAACCAATAATCCGCAGACTTGCCTTTCATTTCGTTTGAAAAGTAGTCCACCATTCAATTTGGTATAACAAGTCTTTGGTTTTATGTGATTCTACTTTGTTTGTTAGTTTTTCAGAACCACACTGGGATGCAATTTTCCTGCTTAGATCAGGGTGTGATGTGTACTCTGGCCTAATGACGAGTTCGTCGCCAGCTCTCATGACATGATGTTACCAACGTTTTTCATTGCAATATCAATATGTATAGTAAGCATAGAGCAGTGGTAGTACACAGCCTAGCCGACATCATGGAATCATTATTGTATAAATACATGCGTTAATAATTAGATTCAACTGTGACCTTTGCGCTTCTTTGCGGTGTGAGCACTACGTGTTCTTCGAAAGACAGCAGCTCTCGGCACTTCCTCTTCAGCATCTACAGCGGCTACTTTACTGCGAGTCCGACGGGGTGAAACTCTTGCTTGGTCCTTGATGGTGGATCGAGTATTGCATAGCTTGGAAACAGGATCCGATGGGAGTGTATTGTTGGCTGTTGGGATTTGTTGAATGCTGGGGATAGTAGCGGATATGACCTCGAAGTCGGTTTTGGTTGCATTGTGTTGGGTGGAACGGTCATGTTCCCCAACAGTATGAATAGCCTTGTTATCGTTTGTTCTATCAAAATCATGACAAGTGTGATTGTTCGGGACATCCGGGACATCCGGGACATCATCAGTTGTGCTATCAATTTCCTGAAATGTGTGATTGTTCTGATCAACAAGTACTGTATCGTTTGTATCGTTTGTATCGTTTGTGCTCTCGAAAACCTGATGAGTGACATCGTTGTGAAAGATGTTGTCCAGAGACTGAGACTGAGGCCGAATGAGATCTTCATACTGAAAAGAGTCGAGTGAGTCAAATGAATGCTGGTTGTTCATAAGTGTGATGTCTAATGTGTCATTGATCAACACAGCCACTATACTATACTATACCAGTATAGCGCTATACCTGGTATAGTATAGTTTTCACTATACTTACAAAGGACAGTATAGTATAGTATAGTACTTAACTACACTATACTATACTATACTATACTATACCAAGTATAGTATTGTAGTACCGGTATACTCTTCACCTTACCTACAACTCCTTACAATCAATTAGATGATCAATCACAGACCAATCAACTCGATGAGAAGATTTTCTCCATCAAGCACCTCACCAACATACCCACAACAAACACCAAAAGCAGTCCCCAAACCCCTTTGTTTTGCAAGTTCATCATCCCACTCGTGTATGTATGTACAGTATTATTATAAGTATGAAGACTATGTCAAATTTGCTCTTGTGTTCAACCGATGATCAAAGAAAATGATTCTTTAGATCAAAAAAGAGGCCAGCAACAAGCCAAAGATAAAATAAAAGCTTTGACAAATTAACCTGGTTTCTCAATTCATATAGAGATTGAACTCGTGTAGACTGGACTTTGTCAATGTTATGGCAATTACACAGTGAGCATCATTTTTTTCAATTTTTTCCTATCGATTGTTGTTGCTGTCAGATTGCTATATCAGCATCAAGAATAAAGGAAACTCAAAGGTTTTCCCCCTTATCAGCATTACAAAAAAGATGAAAATAAGCTTTTTCTTTTTTCATTCTCTGGTATTGTATCTATTACATAACCCACCAAGAAAAACAAGATCTTATTTCGTTAATTTCAAGTATCTCAATGGAGATTGAAACGATTGGTACACTTGTTAACTACAAATGAGATAGGATCAAACATGTTTTGACCGAGGTGTAACTTGAGAGTTATGATGAGCTGTTGGACTTGAGAGATAGTCAATGGAAGATGATAGTAGATGGAGAAGCTTCAATCAGCAAAATTGCCTTGATTTTCTTTATTGTTTATCCTTTCTTTGATTTTGAATATGATGTTGCTTTTGAAGTCGGTTCCTTTGTCAATTCTTCTGCTTGTATTTTGAAATCGAGTCTCAATTTTGATATGATCTTAGTTTTGATTTGATTTCAATAAGTTTTGATTTGACTTTGACTTTCATTTTGATTTGGTTTTAATATCAATTTGGGTTTGATTTAACAATGGTTTGATTTTGATTCAATGTTGATTTGATGATGATTTTGTTTGTGTAATTGTTCATGCGATTGATTGAATGATTGATTAATTGGTCTTTTGATCTTGATGCATGCTGATTTGTAGTGTCACAGAAGACAAGATTGAAAAGATAGGGTTCTCAAGAATTGATGTAGGATGAAAGGATTTGAGTAGCTTGATTCCAGCTTTGATCGTTGAGGTTTTGTTGGATTCACATTCGGGTTTGGATTGATGATCGATGAAATGGGTGCCTTTCCCTCTTGACTATACTATACTCAATACTGTAGTATAGTACTGAGTTTTCAATACTATACTTTGAAAGTATAGTATAGAAAAAGGTAGTTCAATACTATACTTTCAAAGTATAGTATTGAAAACCCAGTACTATACTACAGTATCACAATACTGTATAGTATAGTGGCCATGTTGCATTGATGCGGCTGTCCGTTGTGGGTGATTTATCTGGATCCGCGGGGGGATATGCAATAGCCAAATCGTTTCCTTTTTCAACATCGTCAGGCAGTCGAGGCTGATGAAGTGCTTGGAAGAAATCCATGTCCTCCAATATGTCTAGAGCGATGTCCTTTTTGTTTGATTTTCATTATGTGTCAGTTGATTGTGGAAAGCATTGTGATAGGCTTTTTAAGACAGACTGACGTGGTTTGGCCTACAGATATCGTTTGGTATCTTGCCTTCAGGTGAACTACATAATACCAAATCGAGTAGTTTGTGAATCGATTTGACCAGCTCATCTTGTTGATGTGGCTCCAAAGTAAGTATTCGGTTGTTGATGGATAGGAGTTGTGATTGGATGGTGGTCTGTGGGTGCTTTTGGTTGATCTCGGGACTCGCTTCTGGACCTTGTGGTTGTTGGGTAGTTGGTATCGTCTTTGGAATCTAAAGACATGTGGTCAGAATGACCGTAAAGGTCCTTCTTGAAATGAAGGACTGGACTTACTGAGGTCGTTGGAATGCTGGTTGTAAGGAGCGGAATCACCATCTCCATTGGCTCATGATTGTGATGTGAAATCTTGTGATGGAGAGTCCATGTTCGTTTTTCGTGGTCAAAACAAGCCTTCATCTCAAAGGGACATTCAATCTTGATGGATCGGCTCTTCTTGGGTGGTTCAGTCTCGGTTTTACTGGCTTGGTCGGCACCTGGCTTGACCTTTGGCTTTGCGGGTTTGCCACTGCAATGACACTGGTATTTGCAGTAGAGGTGCGGGTCTCGTCCAGAGTGACCGATGATGATGCCATACCCATGTTGGGGTGCGAACTCTTTGACATACTTGTTGAGTTGTTTGCGATGGTCGAACGGTTCCGTCACTTTGGGGTCAGGATCCGGCAGGGTGGTGATGATTGGTGGTAGTGGCATTGGTAGTTGCGTGTTGCTGGTTGTCGGTGATAGCATTGTGGACGTCGTGTTGAGGGTAGGATC